GTGCACAGCCTGCTGCTTCTCAGGTGGACCTGAGACTGGGGCTCTGCGTCGGCCATTCAACAGTCAGTGACGATCCACCCTTGACTGCATCGGAGATAATTGAGGCATAGCTCCTGACCTTGGAGAGGATTGTGGGGGTGAGTGCGGGGAGGCTGGGAGGTACCGAATGTCCCAGCCCAGCCCCAGTGTTCACAGAGTCCCCACGATGCCAGTGGGGAGAGGGGCAGGAGGGGAGGCGGCGGGATCCTGGCCAGGGTGGTGGGTGCAGGTGGCACTGGGCATTGGGATCCCCAGAAGCCACGCCCCTGCCCGATAGTCAGGCTGTCCTTGCAGTGAGGGAAGGGGACAGCTGCAATGCTGAGGACGCTCTGGCCGGGATGGGAGCTGGCAGGAAGCCACCTTCTTCCGTCACTGGAATTCCAACGTCCTGAGAGGTACCCAGGTTGAGGGGGTCCCGGACAGACCATGTATAGGCCCTGCCCACCCGTCACCCCCAGACTGACGCCCGAGTGCAAAAAGCAGAGTCAGCTGGAATAGAGGTACAAGTGCAGGGCCACCAAGCTCAGGGAGGGAGGAGAGATGCCCGCTGCTCGCTCACCGCTCATCTCCAAAGCCAGCTGGGAGCGTCCCCATGAGGCCAGGCCGCTGGGAGCGACCAGGCCTTCAGACTCCCGCCGCAGAGGCCACCACTGGAAACACGTCCCATGGGCATGCAAGAAACACAGTCCTTAATGGACGGATGAATCCCCACCATGGCTTGGGCTTTGGAGCCTGCGGTGAGTGGTGTGGGCCACGGGCGTTTACAATACCGCCACTAAGAGTAACCCCTTGCCTGCATGCTGTGTTCTAGGGTTTCCAGGTGCTTTGATGTATACCGCCAGCCCAGCGAAGAGTCTAAAGAAAGAGCTCCTCTTTGCCCCACTGTGCTTTAGACACGAGGGGTGATCACTGGAAGAGAGGAGGTGCCCTGTGAGAGTGTGGCAGTGTAATGCGCATGCGTGTGAAAAACCAATGTGTGTGTGTGTGTGTGTGTGTGTGTGTGTGTGTGTGAGACCCTGTCGCTTGCCTGAGAGGCCCCCAGCAGGAGTGCCCAGCATGTAGGAAAGCGCCCAGTGGTGAATGAAGGCGCGTAATGCTGAGGAGAGGAAGGACCACTCATGCTGGGCTGATTTAGAAGCAGGCTTCAGAAGCCTGGGTGGCGCCAGTGATTAAGCGTCCGACTTCAGCCAGGTCCGCGATCTGTGAGTCTGATTGAGCCGTCGGGGCTCTGGGCTGATAGCTCAGAGCCTGGAGCCTGTTCCGATTCTGTGTCCTCCCCTCTCTGCCCCTCCCGTTCCATTACTCCTGTCTCTCTCTGTCCCAAAAATAAATAAACGTTGAAAAAAAAAAAAAAATTAGAAGCAGGCTTCCAGAAGAAATCTCAAGAAGCTGACTTTCAGTTGCTGGAACTATATGGGGGGGGGGGGAGTCGCGGGTGGAGTGGAGCCACAAGCTAATTAATTAGAAAAGAGAGTTCTTCTGAAGTTATTTGCCAAAAACTAAAGAGCTCAGGCTCTTAGGAATAAGGAAGTCTGCCTCTGGCTAGACACTAAGTGACGTCTTACAGAGAACAATTTGGCAACTGTTGCCAAAAGCACCTTTAAATTAGATATTTCGGGAAGCCTGGGTGCAGCTCAGTCCGATTAAGCGGCAAACGGCTGAATCATGATCTCATGATCCGTGAGTTCGAGCCCCGCGTCGGGCTCTGGGCTGACAGCTCGGAGCCTGGAGCCTGTCTCAGATTCTGTGTCTCCCTCTCTCTCTGCCCCTCCCCCGTTCATGCTCTGTCTTGCTCTGTCTCTCTCTGTCTCAAAAATAAATGTTAAAAAAAAAATAATAAATAAATAAATAAATAAGATTTAGATGACTCATAGAACCATTCATATTCGGTTATTCAACAAATGTTTGTGAAGCTTCTAGTATATGCCAGTCATGGTGGGAGCTACCGTGTATGCAGCCGTGATCGAAACAGACATGACCCGTGCCCTTAGGGAGCTTATTTCCTAGAGGGGAAGACACAAAGTAATAAAATTATCGCATAAAATATAATTACAAATTGCAGTAAGTTGTTTGAAGGAAAAGTATAGGGTGCTACAGGCTACTAGAAGGTGGACCCTAATTAGATGGGAGTGGTCAGGACAGGTTTGTCTCAGGGGGAGACATTTGATAAAGGCACAAACAGTGACCCGAAGGATGAATCAAATCAGGTGATGAATGAGGGGAGGACAAACATTTGAGATGACGTACAGCATGTGCAAAGGCCCCGAGTCAGGAAACAGTGGTTTGCTTAAGGAGCTGACTGAAAGCCAGTGTGGCTGGAATGCAGTGAGGGATAGAAAGAGTGGGAGGAGATGGGGCTGGAGGGGCCAGATCATATAGGGCCTTGTAGACCACGTTACAGAGTTTCGATTTTATCCTACGGGTAGTGGACAATCACTGGAAGGTTTTTACCAGGGGAGGAGGTGACAGAATCCAGTCGGAGTGGAGGAGGAGCGGGAGAGAGTAGATGAATCAGGAAACTTTGGCAGCCAGGAAGGGAGATGATAATGGCTGTGACCCGTGGGACTCCACGGGTGGTGTGGAAAAAAGAAAGTGGCTTTAGGGTATGGCATTTGGGTATGGATTGCAAACGGGTGAGAGGGAGCAGCCCCCGTGATGCTGCAGAACTGCACAATGGGCAGAAAGGGAGGGAGGATGCGGCCAGGGAGTGGGGTGTTCGAGTGAGTGACATTGGAAGAGGGGCAAGTCCTCGGTGTGGCTGGGGTGGCTCAGGGCCTCGCCCGCTGAGGTGGGATGGAGGAGAAAGCGATGAGGAAGTCAAGGATCTGAGGGGCCAGGGCTCAACTGGTCATCACACAGCTGTAGAAACCCCCAAAGATGAATTGTAATGACAAAAAAGCAGGAAATAACGAAAATGCCCAACCATTAGGGGTCGTTAAGTCAATTAGGGTGTATCCACCGTGCAGCATATCTTATAACCACTAACAACATGGGTGGTACCACAGGGAAGCACGAAAGGGTTTCTTTTTTTTTTTTAATTTTTTTTTTAACG